AGCCAGGAAAAAATTTTGTTGGTAGAAATTACAGTGGAAAAAATTACGTCATAGTTTTTCATCTCAACTGGTTTCTTGGTTAAAAACGCGAATGACACTTGTAAAAACTGTTAAATTGACAGAGCTTCTGAAGGCCTATCTTGCAACAGTTTGATGATGACTTTAAGATGAAAAAAAAAAACTAATGACGTAAGAAACATTAAGAAAAAAAACAGTTGGAAAAATATAAATGAATAAACAAATTCATGGTACCTGAAATCTCAATGCTCCTACCGGTGGTGCCGCGTAAGGAATACCTTTGAAAACAGCAAAATCGTTAGCACCTTCTCTCTGCAAGAAAGAAATAAAAATAAACAGCTTCAAATGTAGTTGAAGAAACTGAAAAAATGACAATAACGCACCCTTTTATTGAATTTCAAAAATTAAAAGTTAAAATTTATTTACACTTAAACGGTCGCCTTTTAAATTTTAGGCACTTTATGACTGCACAGTTTTAGTACTCTTTTCCCCCTGTATTGGAAAAAAAAAACAATGAAAAATCGCATTTTCTGGACTGATTTAAAAAAAAACCACTGGAAAGTTAGAATTTTATTAATAGTCATTAGTGACAAAAGGTTCAAAACCTTAGCAAAAAAGAAAAACCTACCAAATATTCTCCACGTATTGAACCAGAGTCAATGGTTAGCTCTATAGGATGCGCATTTCTTGGAAAGCAATCGACGTTTTTCCGTATTATAGTAATTAAAAACAAAAAAAAACGTATAACCATTTGCATATCGCATTTGTGGTTCATTGACTCATCAGTTGTTTTTTGGGAGAAAAAATTTTTCTACTCCAATTATCTAGTTAACTTTAAATCATTTCTTCCAGTTGTTTTTTCTCCCGTCTTGTTGTTGAATTTCTGCTCCTTTGTTTCCTCCTGGATTGTTTTCTGTTTCTGGATAGTTAACCGTTGATTCAAATTAACAAATGACAACAATCTATTCAGTAGGTTTGTAATAGGAAGTGTACGAACTGAGTCGATTCCAAATTATTGCATACAATAAGCACGAAAGCCCATCAGCGTAGTTTTAGAAAAGAATAAAAAATAGTTTGGCTTAAAAAATAACACTACTGGCAATGTTATTATAGATAAGGACACTTAAAACCTGAAAAAAAGAAAAGATATAAAAGAAGAATTTTTCCTAAAAACAAAGAAGAAGAAGAAAAAAAGAAGTTAACTCGCCAATCAAATTTGTACAACCAAAAAAA